CCGGGCCGGGCTACCCGCCAGGAGCGCCCGACGGCCCCGGACCGCCGCTAAGGGCCGTCAGAGCCGTCGGACGCGTCCGCAGCCCGGCAAGCCTGCCAGGCCGGCCACCAAAGCTTTGCGGCACACTCCGTGCGGAAACGCCGCAAGAACTTTGCGGCGCCAGACGCCACAGAAGAGTCGAAGTCTGCAACCAAGGCCGCGAACTCCGGAGTAAAATGACCCGTAAGGATCCGAAAGGAACGAGTGTAGGCGAGGTCTCCTGACCCGGAGACGATGCGCCCGTCATCCAGGAGCGTCAGCGCCCGTCGGAACTTGTCGGCAAGGGAGGCCGCCGAGGGCCTCGGCAGGCCTTCCGTCAGGCGGAGAATCGTCCGCTCGCACGATTCGTAAAAACGGCGCCGAGCCTTCACCACCACGTGAGCCCGGCAGGACACCACGACGTGCATCAAGTTCTCCTCCTCGGTGCCGCAGGCGCGGCACCTCAACGAGTCCGGGGGCGGCCGCCGCCCCTCCCAGTCCGAGATCCGCCTGCGCGTGGCCAGCTGGCCCCACATGAACTTCAGGCTCTCCGCGCGCGAGATGACCGACGCCGGACGGGCAAAGAGCCGCGTCAGGTGGGGGTACCCCATCCGGGGGACAGCCGGGTCCGAGCCGTCTTCGATCTCGTACGAGAGGAGCCGCCCGAGCCCAAGGACCGAAAGCAGAGCGTCGGCACGGCCGAGATCCACCACGCGCTTCCCCGCGTGGGAGATCCGCCAGCGCCGCGCATGCCGCAAAAGGGGGACGCCCCCCCCCGGCGGGTCGCCCGGGGAAAGCCGGCCCACGTCCGCGAGGCCGTCCGCCGCGTGGTTCAGGCGGTCCAGGTTATCCCAGTCCGCAGGGTCCGGGCCCTTCGTCTTCTCCGGGTGGCCCCGGCGCCACTCCAACTCGTACGCCACGCCCACCTCCCGGAAGGCGCGCTTGTAGTACCGGATGTCGTCCCAGACGTCCACAGAGGTCTGGATCAGCCGTGTCTCGCAGTCGGCGTAGACACGGACCACTGACTGGTTGTCGAGCCACCCGCAGACCCGGAGGGGCGCCCTCCCGGGGTCCGGGAGCGAGCAGCGCACGACCCAGGCGACGATCATGCCGCGGAGCACCCCCACGGCCTCGGAGCGGTACGACGAGGACGTGCAGACGGCCGGGGGGTCCGCACCCGCAAAACATTCCGGGGCCGACGACCCGGGCACCAGGAGCACTCCTCCAGAACCGCCGCGGCCCATCGCCTCCGAGCCGTCCGACACCAGGACAAGAGAGTCCGACCGATTCGTGGCAGGCACCGTCAGCCGGTCCGCGAGGACTGCCGACGCCGGCCCCCCGGACGACGCGTCCATGTGGCCCGCCGCCTCGAGGAGCGCCGCGAGGCCGGGACCGCCAGTCGGGGGGAGGCGCCGGTCCTCGACACCACTCAGTGAGAAGCCCGCGCACGCGGCCCGGACCGCTTCAGCCAGGCCGCCGCCCAAGAGGACAGACACACACGGAGGGGAGGCCCCATGGATGCGCTCCTCGAGGCGGGCGAGCGGGACCTTCACGACCCACCGCCGGGCAATCGCGACTGCCGGCCCGCGGGCTCGCCACCTGGCCCCGTCCCCGGGCCAGGGCTCCGCCGAGTCCCACGGCACGTCCTCGTAAGCCAACATGTGCTCCCGCGCCGCTTTCACCTCATCGTCGGACTCCTCGCCGTCGGACTCCCGAAACGTGTCGATGCGCACTGCGACGACCGAGCCAGGACCAGTCCGCCGGACGCAGCCCTCCACGAAGTAGCTGCGGCCATTGCCGCCCTCGGGAGCGGTGTTCCACAACATGCGGACCACGGCCCCGGGCTCGGCGGCGGCCGAGACCATCCGCTCGAGGCGGCGAGCGCGGCAGGACCCGCCAGAGACAGCGGTGCACTCGAACAAGGCACAGGGGACGACGCCGGTCGACTCCGGCGGCGGCGCGACCGGGCAGAGGAAGACGTGGCCCACGGCGACCTCGGAGTGAAGGCCCAGGCGGCCCTCCTGCCAGTAGCGAGGGTCGACGTACGTCCTGAAACTCCCCAGGGCCGACTTGACGCGGGCCAAAGCCGACTTCCTGCCCACCGACGGCTGGATGGCGAGCGGGTTGAACGTCTTACCGTCGGCCAGGAGGAAGTCCGAAGGCCACCACGCCGCCGAGCCAGCCAAAACCCGTCGGGTAGGGCAGGAGAACTTGTCCTTCGGCAAGAGGTCAGCCACCGAGGCGCTCTCGCGGCCCTCGGGGCCCGCCACGGCCCCGCGAAGGGGCGCGAAGCCGTGCCACTGGACCCCCGCGGACGACGCCCATGCCAGCACCGAACCCACGAAGCCGTACTCTCGCGCATTCTTGTCGTCTGTGAGCCACCGCATCGTGCAAGCCTCGGCATCCACATCCTCGAAGACAGGCCGGGAGCCGCCCCACTGCCGCTGCAGCCGCTCGACTGCGGCCTCGATGAGCGGGGCCACGAAGGCCCCCCGCTCCAGCGCGCGGTGGGACCACAGGAGCCTGTCGATCATGACGCTCTCGAACCACGGGGCCTCGCCCCCCGCGCCGTAGGCGGAGGGGCCGGCTGCCACCTCGTCCTTCACGTTCTTGTGGAGCCTGGCGCGGAGTCGGACCACGACGCGGGCGTCGTGAGCCATGCCCTGGAGGTCCGGCCGCGAGACCCGCTCAAAGCGGAGGCGGTAGGCCAGCTTCGGCCAAAGGACCTGGTCAACCAGGTACCTGGCGGACTCGGGGTGAAGCGGCACGTGATGAAGGTCCGCGAGGAACTCCCGGACGACGCCGCCCAGAGAATTGCGGGTGACGCCCTCGCCGCGGGAAAACGTCGGGGAGAAGTTCACGCCCAGGTACCGCGTGCCCTCGCCCATCGGGGCCGTCCCAAAGGAGCCGCGAGAGAGCGAGCGGGGGGCGATGTGGCCGGCGAAGCGGCCCGAGCTCGTCGCCGGGGACACCACGATGCCGCCGCGGTCGAAAACGCCCGCCAAATCGTAAATCTCGCACGACCATCCCTGCGTCGTGGAGTCGACGCGATAGTGGGTGTCGTACTGCTGGCCGATGACGAGAGTTTTCTTTACGTTGAGGCCGATTACAGCAAAACTGCAGAAAAGGGCGGAGACGTTGGCGCGGACTTCGAGAGAGCGCCGGATGGCGCCGGCGTCCTCGCCGCCGGGCAGCCACAAGGCGTCGTCCACGAAGCACAGGCCCGTGGTCGAAGACGGCGGCGACTCGCCGCCCTCGACCAGGGCCGCACCCCCGTGGTCACGAGCGGCCCTGTCCTGCATGGATAGCAAGATGTCGTAGAAGGCTCTCCATCCCAGAGGGCCCTCGGAAGACCCCTGGCAGTAACCTCGATGGTACTCGAAGACGCCCTCCGTGCCGACGACCTCGTCCGAACGGCCGAACGCCGTGACGACGACGGCGCGGTTCCCCTCGTCCATCTGGCCGAAGAGGTCAATCACTGACTCGGGAACTGCAAGTCGACGGAGAGACAGCTCCTTCCCCGCGCGGCGCGCGACGGAGTCGAAGGCCTTGGAGATGTCCTGGACGAGGACCGACATAGGCCGGCCCTCGTCCCACGCCTGCTCGCAGAGGAGCGTGGCGACACCCAGGGGCGAGGAGCAGTCATGCCCCCGCCGAGCGCCGAACTGCTGCCCCGACAGCAGGCCGCCGGCCTCCCACACCTTGTCGACACGGCGGCCAAGGACGGCCCAAAAGCCCTTCATGACCACGGCGAGGAGCGTGATGGGCCGCGTCTTCTCAACGTCCGCATTCCCAGGCTCCTTATTTGCTCGGACCCGTCGACGTAAATTTTACAGCTCGCCGGGGGCGGCCTCTCCGGCGGGGTCGGTCCCGGCGAGGTCGGCGAGCGTGAAGCCGCGCTTCGAGACGGCGCCGAGGAGGGACCCGCCCGACTCCGACGACGTCGCGCCGGCGCGCGCGCCCGCGGCCTTGAAGGACACGTAGAACATGACGCGGCGGCGCGCGCTCCCGTTCGCCGCCCCGGCGTGCGATATCCGCGCGTCGAAGACCGCCGCGTCGCCGGCGTCGAGGAGCGCGACGTGTTGTTTGAGGTTTTGTCGCTCGCGCGTCGCGGCCGAGGCGGTGCCCGGGACGAAGAGGGTCGGCCCCATGTCGGGCGCGACGTCTTGGAGCGCGACGAAGACGGTGACGACGGTCGCCGCGTCCGTCCAGGCCTGGTCCGGGTGGAGCGGCTGCTCCGCCGCGCCGGGGTCGGCGACGACGGAACTCAGATCGAAGAGCTCCGCGGCGTCGCCGACGGCGGACGCGACGAGCGGCCGCAGTGTGTGTGCGAGCGTGTGGAGCGCGGCCTCCGTCTCGGCGACGAGCGGCAGCTTGACGTCGTAGCGGTGCCGCCGCTCGTGCACGCGGCCGAAGGCGTCGGTCTCGTTTAACGTGCCCGCCTCCACCGCCGCGATCGACGACGCGAGCGTCTCGTTGACCCGGCGGAGGAGCGCCGCGCACAGCGCCGGGGGGAGGACGCCCGCGACGCGGACGACGCCTTCGCGCCGGAGGGCGTCCGCCGCGGCCGGCGCCGGCGTCGCCGCGATCGCCGGCATCGACCGCAGGTCGCGCGGCGGCCGCGACCGGGCCGTGGCGAGCTCGCGCGCGAGCGTGCCGTCCTCGACGCGCCGGAGCCAGCCGACGAGCGCGTCGAGGTTCTTCTCGCCGGCGAACCGCTCGAACGCGGCGCCGGTCCACGCCTCGACGAGCGACCCGACGACGTCGACGCGGAAGCCAGCGCCGAGCTCCGCGCAGACGTCGGGGTGCGCGCCGCAGCGCAGCCGCCAGACGCGACCGCCGGGGAAGAGGCGCGCGTCGACCATCTCCCAGAACGGCTCCAGCGCGTCGCAGGCGTCGCCGCACGACGCCGGATCGATTTTCACATACGCCGGTCGCGAGGAGGCCCTGATCCGGGCGAGCTCCTCGGGCCCGAGCTCGAGGATCGTGCCGCCTATCTGAACGAGCAGCGGGAGTATTCGCAGCATTCGTGGCATTGAGGACGTCGTCGATCTCCCATGCGGCATTCGTGGTATTCGACGCCCTGTGTGAGGAGACGTCAACGCTCGTGTGTGAGGAGACGTCAACGCTCGTGCGAACTCGGCACTAAGGCAACATTTTTCTCCCTGCGCCGGCCGCTAAAGCTGTAAGGCAAATTTTGTCAAAATTTGTGGCAAAAAAATTATGCTTTTCATTTAGCCGTATGCACTTAGAGGCGTACTTAGGCGGCGACAACCTGCCTCTTGTGCTCACCCTGAATCTGCAGTTGCGTACCCGGCTAGCAGGCTGCGGGGCCGCGGACGCGTCGGACGCCGCGCTCGTCTCCGCGGCCCGCGGGCGCGTACAAGTCCGTGTTCACAGCGCGCACCACCATCGATGGCGCTGGATGCGCCCCTTGGTTTTGGGCGCGACGTGGGTGTGACGGCTGGGGAACGCCGTTTCCCTGCAGTATGACGTACCACCCGGCCGCGCACGCAGGGGCGCCGCCGACGCCACTGGCGGACGCCTTGGCGGCCTTGCTCGTGAGCTCACGACGTTTGAGGCGCAACGATGCGCACGTCGTGGCTCGGAATCATGCGTCTGCGAGCTCGGTGTTTCGTCTTCGCCGCCATGTTGTGGCGGTCGAACGCGTGGGCGCCGCGGCCGCTGCGCGCGCCCGGCGCGCGAGGGCTGCGCGCGCCCGGCGCGCCGCGCCCGTCTCTTGGCGCCGCGCCGGCGCGCCTACAGCCATCGTTTGCCGCCGCGACCGCCGGCGAGAAGAAGAAGAAGGACCGCATGAACGACGCGAGCACGGCGACGTCCTTCGCCGGGCGCAGCGCGCTCGTCGGCCCCTTCGTCGCCGCGACGGCGCTGCTCGCGTTCGCGGGCGCGAACGTCGTCGTCGCCGGCTCGCCCGTGCTGCTCCTCGTGCACAAGTTCCTCAAGAAGTCCGAGGGCAATTCCCTGGCGGGCCGCGTCGTCAAGGTCGTCGCGCTCGCGTCGGCCTGGGTCGGCTGGTCCGTGGCCGTCGCGGCCGTCCCGCTCGCGGTCCTCTTCCGGCAGCCGGTGACGGCGTACCACGCGCTCGCGGTCTACGCGCCGCTCCTCGTCATCGCCTTCAAGCGGAACCGCGAGGTGCCCTACCCGAAGCCCTGCACCGTGCTCCTCCGCGTGCTCTTCGACCTGCCGCTCGTCGCGACGGGCTGGGCGCTCCGGCGCTGCGGCGTCCGGCTCTTCACGCCCTTCGCGTCCATCATCGACGACGACATCGTCCAGGGCGCCATGCCCTTCGCCCTGGACGTGCCCGAGCTCGTGGGGGCGCCGTACAACGTCTGCGCCGTCGTCAACATGTGCAAGGAGTGGCCCGGGCCGACGGCGGCCTACGCGGCGCACGGCGTCGCGCAGTGCCGGCTGCCCTTCCAGGACACGACGGCGCCGAGCGAGGACGCGCTGCGCGAGGGCGCCGCCTTCATCCGGGCCCAGCTCGACGCGAACCCGGGCAAGCGCGTCTACGTGCACTGCAAGGGCGGCATCGCGCGCGCGTCCACGATGGCGCTCGCGCACTACATCATCAACGAGGGCCGGGAGGCCCACGCCGCCGTCGAGGTCCTCAAGTCGAAGCGCGACGTCGTGCTGACGAGCGCCGCGGACTACTCGTCCATCCGCGCGCTCGACGCGGAGCGCGCCGCCGCCGCCGCCGCCGCCGCCGCGAGATAACGGCGTGTGACTTCGGCCCGTCTTCGGGGCTCAGCGGCTTTTTTTTTGGGAGACTGTGTCTGTTGTGGTGTCAACTGGTCTCTCGGCGGAGATTGGTAGATGTCGAGGTAGAAACTGGGGCCGGTGCGACGCACTGACGCCTCACGGGTAACGCCTCGGGTACCTCCTCCTAGGTCCTCCTATCGAGATAGCCTCGAGATTCGCCGATCACAAACCTTGTGGCATTCTGGGCCCACTCACACCTCAAGGTTCGACGCGCCGTCCAACTACGCCGTTCTCGGCAGGCACGCGCGGACGATGGGTCGCATATGCCTCCTCGCCCTGTGGGGCTTCGCCGCCGCGCAAAATATCGTGGACCTCCCGGGGCGAAAGATCGGCGGGAACGCGTCCACCGATGGCCCGCCCTGCCGGCGCAAAGGCGCCGTCTTCGAGGCCGTCGACGTCGACAAGATCGTCCTGTTCTCGGGCAAGACGAAGGACGAACACTGCAACGCCGGGCACATGTCGCTCGTCGGGGACGCGTGGCTGCTCGAGCTCAACCCGCGTAGCGAAGCGTCGTGGACGAAGATCGAGCCGCGCGGCGCCGCCGCGCGGCGGTCGCCCGCCGACATATCGCGGCCGTCGCCGCGGTGGAAGAGCGGCGGCGCGGGCCTCGACAACAAGCTCTACGTCTTCGCCGGGAGCAACATCAAGAGCGGGGGCAAGAACACGTTCCTCGACGACCTCTGGGTCCTGGACCCCGCGACGGCCGAGTGGACCGAGGTCGCGAGGACGCGGACCGCGCCGTGGCCGCCCGCGCGCCGCGGCCACGTCTCCGCGGCCGTGCCCGAGCTCGAGAGTTTCGTCATCGTCGGCGGGCGCAAGGGCGGGCACGAGTGCCTCCGCGACGCCTGGGTCTACGCCGTCGGCGGCGGCTGGCGCGAGGCGTCGATGCCGCCCGAGGACGAGTACGCGTGCCGCTGGGGCCACACGGCGACGCGCGTCGCCGACGGGTCGCGGCGCGTCGCCGTCTTCGGCGGGCGCTACAAGGACGACGCGGGGTTCACCTACCTCGACGACCTCTGGCTCTACGACGCCAGCGCGGACTCGTGGCGCCGCGAGGCGTACGCGAACGCGCCGCCGTCCGCGCGCGACCACCACGCGGCCGCGTACCTCGCCGGCGGCCTCTACGTCCACGGCGGCAAGACGACCGACCAGGCGAAGCGCGCGCTCGGGGACCTCTACCGCTACGACCTCGCGACGCGGCGCTGGAGCGACCTGTCCGCGTCCGCGGCGCCGTCGTCGCGCTACCTCCACAGCGCCGCGGCCTGGCCCGCCGCGAACCCGATCCGGACGAGCCTCAACCGCGCGCGCGGCGCCGTCGTCGTCTTCGGCGGCGAGCACATCGTCTCGCGGACGGAGGGCAAGAAGAAGTACCGGCGCATGGCCGACGTCTGGGCCTTCTACCCCGCGGCGGCGGCGGCGAAGCCGGGCGCCTGGGTGAAGCTCATCGGCTCGCGCGGCTCGCGCGCGAACCTCGGCCTCTCGGAGTACGCGCTCCTCGGCCTCGAGAGGGTCCTCTGGGTCTTCACCGTCGTCGCCTGCGTCGCGCTGGTCGTCATGGCCCTGCACTTCCGCTTCGACGAGGACTCGAACCGCATGGTCCCCGGCGTCTCGAGCTCGCGGCCGCGGTCGCGGTCCGCCTCGGGCGACGACTCGGACCTCGCGTCGCCGGGCTTCTTCGCCGCGATGGGCCTCCCCGCGGTCGGCTCCTACTCCCGGGGCATCCGCGAGTACGCCATGGGCGAGTAAGCCTCGAGACCCCCGGGCACATGAGCCGGTCGGGCAGGCCTGTCGGCGCGCGGCGACGCGTCTAGGCGACGCGTCGGGCCAGTCCTCGGGCCGGCGCGGGCCGGCGCGCGCGACGCCGGCCGCCGGCGGGCTTCGCCTCGACGCCGCCACTTCGGAGAGCGCGTTCTCGAGCTGCGCCCTGCGCCGCCGGTGCCCACAGCACCGCTGCTCCTCCAGCGCGGCGGCCGCCGGCCAGTGCGCCGCACTCATGGCGTCGCCGTCGGCGGCGCCGACGACGCTCGCGCCGACGGCGGGCGACGAGAAGAACCCCTGGTCCGTGCCGAGCGGCACGTGGAGCGAGGTCAAGTCGACGGTGGAGGTCAACCTCTTCCTCGGGCTCTGCCTCCTGGCCTGCTTCGCCTACTTCAAGGACCGCGCCGGCGTCTTTTGCCCGCGGCGGACCTACCGGCCGTCGCGCGTGCCCGCGGGCCTCCGCGACGGCCTCGCGGGCCTACTCGACGTCGCGCGCATGGACGACGGCCGGCTCCGGCGCGGCGTGGGCTACGACGCGCACACGCTCCTGCGGTTCCTGCGCGCCATGCGGCGCCTCTGCCTCGCCGGGTCCGTCGTCGCCGTCGGCGTGCTCGCGCCCGTCTACGGGTCGGGCCTCAACGAGAAGTCCGGGTTCTACAAGTACACGATGGGTAACCTCGCGAAGAAGGGCGAGCGGCTCTGGGCGCCCGTCGCCTTCGCCTACGTCTTCACGGGCCTCGCCTGCCGCGCCATGGAGCTCGAGGCGCGGGCCTACGCGGAGGCGCGGACCGCGTTCCTCGCGTCGGGCGACGACGACGGGTCGCCGCAGCCGCGGTGCTCCGTGCTCGTCGAGCGCGTGCCGGTGGACCTCCGGTCCGACGGGGCCCTCGCGCGCTACTTCGAGCGGCTCATGGGCCCGGGCAGCGTGCACAGCGCCGTCGTCTACGCGGACTGCCGCGCGCTCGAGCGGTCGCGGCTCGCGCGCGACGCCGCGGCCGCGCGCGCGGGCGACGGCGGGCGCGTCGCGGCGCCGCGCTGGGACGAGGACGCGGCGGCGACGGGCGAGGCCCGCTGCTGCTGGCGCGTCGCGCCCGCCGGGGCCTACTGGGCCGCGCGGCGCGGCCGGCTCGACCGCGAGCTCCGCGAGGGCCGCGCGGCGCACCGCGCGCGCGTCGCCGACGCCGGCGGCGCCTACGCGCCCCTACCGAGCGAGCCCGAGGCCAAGGACGCGCGCGACGCCCTCGGCGAGGCCGCGGGGGCCGCGGCGGCGCGGACGCGGGACCTCGCGGCGAGCGCGACGCGGGGCCTGCTGTCGACGCTCGCGCTCGAGGACGTCGCGCTGTCGCGGCCGCTGGACCTGTCGTCGACGGCCGTCGTGACCTTCGCGTCGCCGGGCGTGGCGGCGACGGTGAGCCAGATCGCGCTGGCCGACTTCCGGGGCGTCGTCGCCGCGGAGGGCCTCGCGCCGGCGCGCGACGACCTCGTCTTCGAGAACGTCGCGGGCGACCCGGCGGGCGTCGAGTACCGGTGCTGGTGCGCCGACGGGTTCCTGCTCTGGGTCGGCGCCATGTGGACGCCCCTCATCTCGCTGATCCTCGCGTTCAACAACCTTGGCTCCCTCGCGGAGGCTTTCCCCTGGCTCCGGCCGTTCGTCGAGGAGCCGCGCTACGCGTACGCGCGGAGCCTGGTCACGGGCTACCTCCCCGTGGTCCTGGCGCTGGGCGTCCTCGTCCTCGTGCCCGTGGGCCTCGAGTGGCTCGCGACGCACTACGTGCGCCTCAAGGCGAAGAGCGCGATCCAGTCCTACGTGCTGAGCCGCCACTTCGGCTTTCAATTGCTGACGATCTTCGTGACGGTGCTCAGCGGCTCGCTGCTGCACGTGCTCAAGAAGTTTTTGAAGCACCCGGGCTCCTTCGTCGACTTCCTCGGCGAGAGCCTGCCGCAGGTCGGGGCCTACTTCCTCCAGCTCCTCGTGACCAAGGCGACGCTCTCGCCGGGCCTCGAGCTCGCGCGCGCCTGGCCTTTGATTGTGGACGTGTCGCGCGCGCGGGCGTTGCTCGAGCGGCTCCGGGGCGGGGGCGGGGCCGACGCGCGCGACGTGTCCGCCGCGCCCGAGTTCAAGTACGGCCACGCGGTGCCCCAGCTGCTCACGGTCGTGCTCGTCGCGTGCCTCTACGCGGCCATCGCGCCGCTCGTGCTGCTGCCGGCGACGGCCGCGTTCTGGGCCGGGGAGGTCGTCCTCGCGCGCAACTTCCTCCTCGTCTACGTGCGCCGCTACGAGTCGGGCGGCGCGGCGGTCTTCCACCACCTCGCGTTCTTCGTCGCCGTGTCCCTCGTCGCCGCGCAGCTCACGCTCGTGTCCTTCGTGGGCATCCTCGGCGGCCTCCGCGAGGTGCCCTGCCTCGTGCCCCTGCCCGTCGCGACGCTCGTCCACTACCGGCGCCTCGTCCTCCGCTACGTCGAGCCGAGCCGCTTCCTCCACCGGGCCGCCGCTGCGGACCACGGCCTCTTCGACGACCACGGCGCCAAGCTCGACGCGACCTACTACGCCCAGCCGGCCCTCGTGGCGGAGGCGGGCGAGGGCGAGGGCGAGGCGCCGGCGGCGCGCGCGTCCTTCGGCGTCGACTCCGGAGCCCCCGCGCTCGTCTAAACGATGTGTGTGCATTGGAGCCGCGGCCATCGAGGCCGAGACTGACAGCCTCCGTCCCCGCGTCGCGTTCCAACGTGCGCCCCCACGGTTAGCCGGCGACGTCTCAGTCGTCTCGTTCGCGGACCACGGCGCCGGGCTCGGGCTCGGGCGCGGGCGGCGGCGCGGCGGGCTCCGGCTTGCCGGCGGGCGGCGCGCCCTCGCGGCGGTATCCGGGCGGGTCGCAGGTTGGCTCCGGCGGCGGGCGCGCCTCGTCCGCCGGTTGCGGCTCGTCCGCGGCCTTGGCCTTGTCCTGCCAGACCCGGGCGACGGCGTCGAGGCCCTCGACCTGCGGCCGCATGTCGAGGTGGCGGATCTTCGACGCGGCGACGAAGAGCGGGCGGATGAAGCCGATGAAGCCGAGCTGGAACTTGTCCATCTCGCACTGGCCCCGCGGGGGCACGGTGCGCGGGAGGTCCAGCTCCGCCTCGCGGTCCGCCTGCGCGTAGAACTCCTCCATGATCTTCGCCGTCCACCGGTCGTACGTCGCCCAGGCCTTCGTCGGGTTCGACAGGTCCGCGGCGTGGATGAGCAGCTTGAGGCACGTCGTGTGGTTCGCGACCGCGCGCGCGTCGTAGGCCGGGTCCTTGGACAGCGCGTGCTCGACCTGGAAGATGGCCGCCGCGTGCTCCTTCATGTCCGTCGCGAGCACGAGCTCGATCCACGTGGACCGCGCGCGCTTCCGCGCGTCCGCGTCGAGCGTCGCGAGCCAGGGCCGCGCCAGGTCCAGGGCCACGCGGCTGTGCATGTTCTCGAGGGGGCTGTGGTCGTTGTAGCGCACCGCGAGCTCGTGCTGCGTCTCCACCAAGAACGCGTTCGTGAGCCCCGGGTGGCCCACGTCGTGGGCCAGCGCCGCGACGAGCACGACCAGAATCGTGTCCTCGTTGAGGGACCCGTCGAAGGCCTCGTTCTGGATCAGGAGCGCGTGCGCGGACTGGAGCACGTCCGCGCCGTGGAGCGCGCCGTGGTACGGCACCTGGGAACAGGGCGATTCACATTCGCTTCAACCTTGAGTCATCCGCGCGCGCGTTTTCCACCAAAAGCATCCACGCTTCGAGGGCGCTCCGAGAGATGATCACCCGTCCAAAAATCAGCCGAAACGAGTGGAAAACGGCTGAGAGAGGAGCCTTTGAACTTGGGAAGTTCGCACCCTTTTCCTGGCCCCGTACGGCACGCGCTCGTAGCGGTCGAGCACGCTCGCGAAGAAGGCGCGCAGCAGGGCGCAGAAGTCGGGCGACCGGGTCGCGGCGACGCGGCGCCGCTCGAGGATGATCTCCTCCGCGACGACGCGCGCCGCGAGCTTGCCGTCGCCGGCGACGGCGTCGGAGACGGCCCAGAGGTCGAAGTCCCAGCCGTCGACGCGCGCGAAGGCCGCGCGGATCTGCGTTCGCTGGGCCTCGCCGAGGTCCTTGGGCAGGCGGTCCGGGGGGCCCAGCGCGCTCCGGAAGCGGTTCGTCTGGATGACCTTCTTGATCGCGCCCTGGAACCGCGCGCGGCCCGCGCGCTTGCCCCCGCGCGGCGCCCGCAGGGCCGCCCGGACGTCGTCGCGCCGCGACTTGGGCGTCGCCCCGAAGGCCGACATGACGCTCTCCGCCGTGCGCGTGTCGCTGTCGGCGCTCACCTGGTTCCGGAGCCGGTCGAAGAAGTCCTCGCTGCTCTTGTCCGTGGCCTTGACGTCGGCCCTCGCCACGTGGTCGCCGCTCGGCTCCGTGAGGAGGCGCAGCACGTGGACCTCGCCGGGGCTCAGCGTGAGCGTCGCGCGCGCCCCGGGCGTCGCGGACCGCAGCCGCCGGTTGACGCGCGCCCTCAGGGCGAGCTCGGCCATGTGGCTCCGAGGCGTGTCGTCCTCGACGTCGTCGCTCTCGAAGCAGTCGACGCTCTCGTCGACGCCGTCGTCGGCCCCGCAGAGGCTGATGGAGAACATGGCGCCGGGGCCACGACGGCCCGCCCCCCGCGGGTTGGGCGGAGGACAGGACTGGCCCCGCGAGATCGGCTGCCCCGAAGAGAGCTCTGGCAAAGAAACCGACGTTGAATTCTTAAGTATCCCCAAAGGGCGCCACAAAACGAGAGCTCGAGCGGCGCTGCCCACAGGCTCGACGCTCTCGGCCCTCGTCGACCCCCCGGGCCGCGCGGGCTCCTCCACCATGGCGACGGACACCTACGTGAGCGGGCAGCAGACGAAGCGCGCCGCCGCGTCCGCGGCCGCGCGTCCGCCGCGGCCCCGCGGCGCCGCATAGCCGCCGACCATCCGCGCGCCCCGTCGCGCGCCCCCCCGCCGCCATCGTTTCGCCCCTCCCAGGTGGGAGGCCTACCTCGCGGACCACGGCATCGAGAAGATCTTCCGCGACATGACGAGCGAGCTCATCACCGCGCAGCCCGCGGCGCCCGTCGAGTTCATGATCGACTACCTCCGGACGACGCACGGCGGCGCGGACGCCAAGGGCTCCGGCTCCGGCGGCGCCCAGGCCAAGGACGCCCAGTACAAGGACGAGGGCAAGGACGACGACCCGCCGCCCGACTCCGAGGACGAGGACGACGAGGGCGACTACGCGGATTTCGAGCCGATCAAGCCGCAGCTCGCGACCAAGAAGCGCATGTCCATCGCCGCGCCCAAGGTCACCGTCGCCGAGAGCTGGCAGCCGCCGGTCTACGAGAAGTCGCCGGAGACGACCAAGTTCCTCACGAAGGAGCTCAGCTCCATCTTCTTCATCAAGGCGCTCACGCGGAAGGAGATCGGCGTCCTCGTCGCCGCGATGAAGGAGATCGCCTACGAGCCGGGGTCGGACATCATCAAGCAGGGCGAGGAGGGCGACATGTTCTACATCGTCGAGGACGGCATCTGCGACATCACCGTCGAGGGCGTCGGCAAGGTCATGGAGATCCCGTGCCCGTCGAAGGAGGACCCGTCCGTCGAGCGCCGCTTCTTCGGCGAGCTCGCGCTCCTCTACGACGCGCCCCGCGCGGCGACGGTGGCGAGCCGCGACGAGGTCAAGTCCTGGGGCCTGGACCGCACGACCTTCAAGTCCATCCTCCAGGAGACGGAGGACAAGAAGATCATGCTCTACTCCAAGTTCATCCAGTCCATCTCCATCTTCAAGGACCTCACCATGTCCCAGATCAACACGCTCTGCAACTCGCTCACGGGCATGGACTACCAGTCCGGCGACACGATCATCAAGGAGGGCGAGGTCGGCCACGACTTCTACATCGTCGAGACGGGCGTCGCCAACTGCTACAAGACCGTCGACGGCGCCGAGAAGCACGTCTTCACGGTCAACGCCGGCGACTACTTCGGCGAGCTCGCGCTCGTCAACGACGCGCCGCGGCAGGCGACGGTCAAGGCCGCGACGCCGCTCAGCCTCGTCAAGATCGACAGGCCAACCTTCAAGCGCATGATCGGCAAGCTCGACATCGCCAAGAACTACAACTGAGGGGGCACCAAGCCGCCGCCTTCGGAAAAAAACACGCCGGCGCCCGCGCCGCGGCGCGGACGCCGGCGCCCGCGCGCCGCCCCGGCGACGCCGCCGCCCCCCCGCCCGACCCTACACGTACGCCCCCGGATCTTCGCTCGACGCGGGGCGGGGGGGTCGCGGCGCTTACAGCTCCCGCCGCCGCCGCTTCCGCTCGCGGGCCCGCGCGCGGTGCGCGGCGGGCAGGTCGCTCGGCGCGGGCCGCGGCGCGGGCTTGCCCCTGGCCTTCTTCGGCCCGGTGCGCCGGCCGCCGCGGCTCGGCTTGTCGATCCGCAGCGCCTCGACGACCTCCCGCACGTAGCCGCCGCTCCGGCCGAGGCCCAGCTGGATGTTGATGTGGTCCGGGTTCAGGCCCTGCGTATGCATCTCCGTGATCATGGACCGCTCGTAGTCGCCCAGCCCGGCGACGAGCTGCTCCCGCCGCTTCTCCGTGCGCCGAGACGACTCCCGCCCGGCGTAGCGGGCGGCGCCCTGGGTCGCGAGGATCGTCAGCACGCAGAATCGCATGGAAATAGGCAGGCGGGCAGCCGCACCAGGTCCTGGTGATGAGAGCCGCTTGAAAAGTCAACACGCAGTCGCAGACGCAGTCGTCGGGCAGCCTACAATTGTAGGGCAGGCATCCCCTTCAACAATTAGTCCAACACGCTTAGTTGAGGCAGCCGCAATCTCTCGAGGGCGGCGACCTGCTCCTCGTCGCGACGCGCGCGGGCAGCACCGCCCTTTGCCGAGGTTCATTTGAGGCTTGCGGCAAGCTCTTGCCCGCGGGCGACGCGGAAGCGATGCGCCTTGCGCTGCTCCTGACCGTCGCCGCCGCCTCCGGCCTCCAGTTCCAGGCCTGGGAGTACGATGAGCTCGTCGCCGGCAAGGGCGTGCTGCTCCAGCTGGCCGTCCACGACCAGGCGGCGAACGACACGCGCGCCAAGTGGCGCGCCCTGTCGGACCACTTCCGCGCCTCGAGCGAGGTCTTCGTCGGGCGCCTCTTCTGCGACGACGTCGAGCACGACGGCGAGGCGCTCTGCGGCGAGCTCATCAACGGGCGCCTGCTGTCGGCCTTCCCGAGCGTCTTCTACGGCGACCCCTACGAGCTCTCCGAGTACGCGGGCGCCAAGACGCTCGACGCGCTGCGGGCGCTCGGCGAGTCCGTGCGCGCGCCGTGCTCGCCCGCGCGCCGCGACCGCTGCGACGACGCGGCGCGGAGGAAGCTCGACGCCTACGAGCGCATGGCGCCCGCGGACCTGGACGAGCTCCTGGCGACGGTGGGCGTCGCGCACCTGGCGCGCGTCGACGCCGCCGAGGACGCGCTCACGCGGCAGCGCGCGGACCTGCTGGCCGAGTGGGACGCGCACGAGGCCGTGCTCGAGCAGCGCGTCGCGCGCGTCGAGGGGCGGCTGCGGACCATGTACGAGGTCGCCGTCGAGCGCGACTGCCTGCCGCCGGCGCCGCCACCGAGCGACGCCGCGGACGAGGGCACCTACGCGGCCGACGGCCTCGCGGGCGGCTACGTCGACGGCGCCTACGCGGACGACTACGACGACCTCTTCGACGACGTCGACCCCTACGACTACTACGACGCGGGCGCGCCGCCGCCGACGCTCTACTACGACGGCGACGCCTACTACGACGAGGACGCCTACCTCGAGGACGGCGGCTACTACGAGACGCAGAGCTACCGGTCCTCGAGCGAACCGCGGCGCTAGCTCGCGTGTTTTTCTATGACGTCTTCGGCGCCGCGAGGAGCGCGTCGAAGGCGCCCTTGTCGTTGAGGAGCTTCGTCGCGGCCTGGAGGACGACGTCGTCCGGGAGCTGGGCCTTGAGGAGCGCCGTGGAGCGGAAGAAGCGCTCCTTGAGGAGCGCGTCGGCGACCTTGAGGATGCGGTCCGGGTTGCGCCGGAACTCGGCGGAGACGTCGCGCGCGACGGCGGCCCGCGCCGCGGCGTCGTCCTTGGCCTGGTCCTCGCCGGCCTTGGGCGCGTAGCGGAGCTCGCCGGCCTTGGCGGCGGCGACGGCGCGCGCCTCGAGCGCCGCGAGGTCGCCGCGCGCGAGCACGGCCCCCGCGGCGTCGCCGTCGGCGGCCGCCCCCCGGTCGTAGAGCGCGCGGCAGAGGTCGGGCCGCTGCTCGAGGTAGTCCGCGACGAAGGTCTGGACGACGCCGGACCGGAGGAGCGCCGTCTCGCCCTTGGTCAGCACCTCGGCCTCGACGACGACGTCCGGCGAGACGCCGCCGCCGGACTCGATGAGCCGCTTCGACCGGAGCGTGCGGAAGGCCTCCCGGGACGACGCCGTCGACGTCTGCGGCGGCCCGCGGTCCGCGGCCTCGGCGCCGCCGCGCGCGACGACGCCGCGGCCGTACTCCAGGGCCTGCAGGCAGCGGCCGCTGGGCGTGTAGTAGCGCCCCACGGTGACCTTGAGCGCCGCGCCGTCGAAGGGCAGCGCGGACACGTCCTGGATGAGGCCCTTGCCGAAGGTCCGCGTGCCCAAGATCACGCCGGCGTCGTAGTCCTGGATGGCCCCGGACACGATCTCCGACGCGGACGCCGACTGGCCGTCGACGAGCACGACGAGGGGCACGGCGCCGAAGAGCGTCGCGCCCGTCGCCCGGCTCCGGAACTCGACGCGCGAGCTCGCCGCCTTCTTCGCCGCGGCGGCCGGCGGCGCGGCGGCGGCCGGCGCGGCGGCCGGCGGCGCCGCCGCGGCGGCGGACGCGCCGGCGTCGGGCACGAAGCCGCGGCCGCCCGCGGACGCGATGAGGGACTCCGGCGGGAGGAAGAGGCTCGCGACGTCGACGGCGGCGTCGAGGAGGCCGCCGGGGTTGCCCCGGAGGTCGAGCACGAGCCCCTGGAGCTTCGAACTCGCCGCGTCGTAGCGGAGCGCCGCGAGGCTCTCGAGCAGCTCCGGCGCCGTCTCGCGCGAGAAGCCGGCGACGCGCGCGTAGGCGACGATCTTCGGCGCCGTCGGCGACGGCAGGAGCGCCGCGACCTCGACGTCCTTGCGGCGCACGGCGAAGCGCCGGAGGTCCGCGGAGCGCACGGCGCCCTTGTCCCAGGGGTGGGAGAACTCGACGGCGACGGACGTGCCCGGCGCGCCCCGGAGCCGGTTCCGCGCGTCGTCGAGCGCGGCCTCGGAGCCTCCCTTCGAGACGACGGACGCGCCGCCGACGGAGAGCAGCGTGTCCTTGGGCCGCAGCCCCGCCTCCCACGCGTAGTCCTCGTAGGCGTCGACGACGGCGATGCCCTGCGCCTGCGCCGCCGCCGCCGCGGGCCGGGAGATGACGAGGCCGACGCCGCCGTAGCGGCCCTCGACGCTCTCGACGAGGTCGCTCGCCTCGCGCGCGCGCTCGAACTGCGTGTACGGGTCGAGCGTCGACAGCATGCCGTCGACGGCGGCCTCGAGGAGCGCCTTGGGCGACACCGCGTCGACGTAGCCGCGGTCGAGCGCGTCGAGGATGACCGCGAACTGCGTCGCGGCCTCGCGCGTCTCGCGGCTCTCGCCGCTCGCCGCGTCGCCGACGGGGCTCAGCGCCACGAACACGGACAGCGCGACGCCGGCGACGGCGCCGCCGACGAAGCTGCCCGCGTCCGGCAGCTTCAGGGAGCCGCGCCAGTCGTCGAGGGCGCTGGAAAATTCCTGCTTCGTGCGCGGCAGTCGAACTTCCGGCAGCTGCGGCCGCTGGAGGGCCTGCGCCGCGGCGACGACGGCGAGCCACCGCAGCATCGCTGCGAGAGCACACGAGCGCAGGTGTTACGAGAGTTCCACGGTGGAGCGGCGGTCAGAGTGCGCGCAAGGTGACGACGCTGCGCGCCAGCGCGGCGTGTGGTGCTGCGAAGAAGTCGGCGCGGGACGTCGACATTGATGGGTACTTGAAGGCTACTTGAGCTCACCTTGTATGTTCTCATCCTGAGCTCGCCCCCGCACACCCCCGCGCCAGTTTCGAGCCTATACGCGAGGCCACACACAGCGGGGCGGGGGGGGGAGCACGAACGGCAAAAAAAGGGGCGCGCTAGGCGCGGACGAAGTTGACCTCGTTTTCGCCCGCGGCGGCCTTGTCGCCGACGAGGTTGTACGTGTAGGTCCCCGCCGCGACGACGCCGAAGCCGATGAAGGCGGGCACGACGATGGCGACGCAGACGCCCGCGGCCGCGACGACGACGGAGATCGTGATGGCGAGGCCGACGGGCTTCGTGATGACCTGGATCGTCGGCGGCCCCCAGGCCGGGTGGTTCGCGGCCTGGACGACGCGGCAGAGGTTCGACGAGTGGGTCGCCGCGGGCAGGGAGCAGGACCAGCACCAGCGGTGGCCGCAGTGGCAGACGATGAGGTTGCAGCCGCCGGCCTTCTCGATGGAGATGCCGCAGGCCGGGCAGGCCTTGACCATGCGCCGCGAGGCCCACGTGCGGAAGGCCGCCTCGTTCGGGTCCTCGTCGCCGAAGCGCGGGAAGGGCGACGCCCAGGCGACGATGGACGACCGCGCGCACGCGTCGCACCGCGCGACGAGGCCGAGCGCGCCCTGCTCGACGCGCACGAGGCCGTCGCAGTCCGGGCTGAAGTGGCACCGCGTCGCGTCCTCGTCGCCCTCGTACCACGCGCGCTCCACGCTCGCGGCCGTCGGCGCGTCGACGAGCCGGCGCACGTCGCCGAGGCCGAAGCCCCGGCCGCACGCCGGGCTCGGGCACCGCAGGAACTGGCGGCCCCGCCGCGCGTTGACCTCGACGTACTGGCGCAGGCAGGGCGCGCAGACGCGGACGTCGCAGCAGTCCAGGTGGCGGAACTCGAGGCTCGCGTCCTCGCTCGGGCTCGCGTAGCAGATGAAGCAGCCCCCGTCCCCGAGCATGCCGTCTTCCACCGGCTCCTCGGCCGGCTGGACCTCGATGTCGATGGTGTTCATCGCTCCTCCGACGGACGCGGGAGCGCGAAGCAGGCCGACGCGCCGACGACGGACCCCGCGCCGTCGAACCCGACTCGGGACGTGACCGGACACTTGGTTTGTTCTGCGATGTGCTCTAATTAATCTGCGGGCGCGCTCGCGCAGGGTAATGATTTGACAACAACATCGACCTTTTCCTCGATCGCGACAGAACTCGCGACAGACCGCCCTCCCATCGCGTGCTCCCCGGGCCCCCATCGAACCACACCAGCGCGAGACCTCAAAATCCATACGCGGACCAGCTCGTCGTGCGGCCCGGGCGCGCGGGCTGCGGGTCCCCGTCGGACCCGCACGGCTCGAGCAGGGCGGTCCGACAACGTCGCGTCCCCGCGCCGCCGCCCAGGCGCTCGAGGTCGTGCACGGGCGCCGCGACCGGCGCGACCGGCGCCGGCGGCGACGACGCGCGGCCGCAAGCCCATCCTATCGCGAAAGCGGCCGCGATCGAGAGCAGCGTGAGCGTCGAGAAGACGGCGCTGCCCAGCGGGTGGAGCACCTAAGCGCGCGTATCTCCGCATCCACCGCGCGCGAATTTCGGTCCCCGCGCGCGCGACGACGACGACGCATCGGTCCGCGCGCGCGCGACGACGACGACGCGACGACGACGACGCACCGTGATCTCGCGGCAGCCTGCGGGGCAGTGCGTCATGGTCCAGGTGCTGTTCCGGCCGAGCGGCGCCCAGCAGTGGGCGCGCAGCGCCGCGGCGGCGAGCAACAGGGATCGCCAGGCGAATCGCATCGATCGCATCCGCCGAACGCTTGACGCTGCCCGACTCCTGGGTTCTCACCTCGAGTGGTCGAGCAAACTCACTGCAACAAAAACTTCGTCGGAACTGGCAACTTGAATGACCCTTTGACCGACTCCGGACTCCGGTTCCGGCGCCGCGCCGCGAGCAACCTCGAGCCCCTTACTCGACGTGGGGCCCCGTGTAGAGCTCGCCGAGGTCGTAGATGTGCTTGAGGTGGGCGTAGCCGGCGGAGAGGATGCCCGGCCTGTTCGCGGGCGCGCAGCCGTGCTTCTCGCAGAGCGCGTAGAACTTCGGGTAGAGCTTCGTGTAGTGGCAGGAGTTGACGACGGGGAGGACGTGGTGGATGGCCTGGACGTTGAGGCCGCCCGTGAGGAAGCGCCAGAGCTCCGAGTCGACGCCGTAGTCCAGCGACGTCGTCGCCTGGATCTTGAAGAAGTCGCCCGTCGCGCGGTCCTGGTCCTTCTGGCAGGGCGCCTGGACGTGGGAGATCTGCGTGACCGTGAAGAAGAAGGCCGACGTGACCAGGTAGGGCAGGAGCGTGAGCGCCGCGGCGCGCGCCGGGCCGAAGCGGAAATAGGGCGTCGCGAGGAACGCGACGGACGACAGGAAGCTCGCGACGGCGAGGCCGCCGCGCCAGCCGTCCATGAAGCCCTGGCGGTGCATGCGGCCCGAGACCTTGAAGAAGGCGAGCTCGTGGGGCGCGTCCTTGCCCGCCGCCTTGAGCGCGTCGCAGTAGAGGTCGTTGTCCGGCGAAAAGTAGGGCGGAAGCTCCTGGTTCAGGAGGTGGCGCTGCACCCAGGGCACGAAGACGAACTTCCAGGGGTGCACGTTCGACATGTTGATCGTCGACACGAGGAAGGCCGTGAAGTGCCAGAAGAGGTTGACGACGCCCGTCATGGACGCGCTGTCCCGCAGCATGGACCGGTGCCACCGCGTGAACGGGTGGTGCTGCACGTCGACGTCGGAGTCGGGGTCGTTCGTCTCGAGGTGGTGCGACGCGCAGTGCTGCTGGTACCAGCTGCCATAACTATAAAGGAGCGGCGACGACGTGAGGAGCGCGAGCTCGTTGACCCAGGGCTTCCTCGACACGGCGTGGTGGCTGCCGTCGTGCGCGAAGTTGGCCATGATGAGCCACGCGCAAACGGGCAGCACGAGCCCGCCCAGGACGACGTCGCCGGCCCACCAGCCGCGCCAGCCCGCGGCGTAGACGGCGAAGACGACCGCCATGTGGCCCAGGTGCTCCCAGGACGCCTTGTGGGCGTCGCCGCGGCCGCCGAAGTGGTCGCGGACCATGGCTTTCACGTCCTCGTGGAACGCGCTGTACGGCTCCGCGGCCGTCGCCGGCGCCCGGCCGCCGACGCGGTACTTGCGCAGCGCCGCGCGGTGCAGGTCCGTCATGACGTGGAACTGCTCGAAGAGGTCCGTCGCATCGCTGCCCCGGCACAGATCCAGCGCCGTCGTCCCGCCCGGGTGGCGCTCGCGGAAGGCCGACAAATCATAGGCCTCGCCGTGGATGATCCAGAGGCCGCCCTCGTCGAGCAGGTCGGCCTCGCGCTTCGCGCCCAGGAGCTCGTGCGCCTTTGGCCGCGGACACATGGATAGCGCTGGCCCCAATAACCGGCTGCGGCTGCCCGCGACTGCTTAGGTGGACGCCGCAGTATGGAACGTTGCAGTAGATGTTGATCTCGAGCTTGCACATGTTGCACTCGACAATCGGGCGAGGCTGCCATCTCTTCGGCCTCTCTGCGCCGCGCCGCCGCCTGCGAACAACACCGCGCCACCACCCGTCGAACGACACGCGCAGACGATGGCCTGCCAGCTCCAAAAAAAGCGGGGCGCCGAGGAGAGCCTCGAGGCCGCGTCGAACCGGGCGCGCAAGGGCGCGACGCGGCCGAACATCCTCGTGACGGGCACGCCCGGCGTGGGCAAGACGGCCGTCGCCGAGGCGCTCGCGAAGCGCCTGGGCCTCGAGTGCGTCGGCGTGAGCGCGCTGGCGGCGTCCATCGGCGCGCACGAGGCCTGGGACGACGAGCGCGCGTGCCACGTGCTCGACGAGGACAAGGTGCTCGACGCGATGGAGCCCAAGCTCGGCGCGGGCGGCTGCGTCGTCGAGTACCACGCCTGCGAGCTCTTCCCCGAGCGCTGGTTCGACCTCGTCCTCGTCCTCCGCGCCGGGACCGAGATCCTCTACGACCGCCTCGCGGCGCGCGGCTACGCCGAGGCGAAGCTCCAGGAGAACCTCCAGTGCGAGATCATGCAGACGATCCTCGAGGAGGCGCGCGAGAGCTACGCGCCGGAGATCGTCGTCGAGCTCACCAACGAGACGCCCGCGGACCTCGACGCCGCGGGCGACCGTGTCGCGCAGTGGCACGCCGCGTGGCTCGCGAACAACGGGGCGTAGTAAGCGTCGTCGGCCCCGCCGTGTGTTCGCCTTCGAGGCGCGTCCTTTGGATAGATGGTTACGCGCGGCGTGGCCCCGCGCCCGCGGCCCGCGTCGCGCGCGCGCGCGCCTCACGCGGCGGGCAGGCGCGGCCCGTCCCAGCCGCGGCGCTCGACGGCGAGCTTCGAGCGCCGGAGCATGGCCGCGTGGTGCGCGAGGATGCGCTGCTCCTTGGCGACGCGGTGCTGGCGGCGGATCGCCTTGAAGCGCGCGGCCTCGCGCTTGCGGTGGTTGTTGCGCCGGGGGCCCGCGCGCTCGGGGTAGGCCGCGCGCGCCTCGGCGAGGAGCGCCTCCCAGTTGTCCGGCCGGTCGCCCGAGTACATGAGGTCGCCGGCCGACGTCGCCTGCGCCATGCGCGCGGCGCTGTCGCCGCCGCCGCGCGCGGCCGTGCTCCGCCGCAGGAACCCCTCGCCGAGGTCGCTGATGTCGCGCGCGAGGAGGTCCGCGTCGTCGAGTTTTTCGGCGGGCGCGGCGTCGTCGTTGTTATTGTCGTCCGAGTTTGTGGACAAAAAGGCGGCGAGCGGTTTCGCGGCGTCGAGCGGTTTTGTTGTGTTGTGTTTTTGTGTCGCCGCGAGCTGGTGCCAGCAGCGAGCGCTGCGGAGGGTTGTGAGTGCTACTCGTCGCGTGAGCTGCGAGAACATGGCCGGCTGCAGCCAAGGTGGCACAGCAGCGACACAACCCGTCGTACACGACAAGCTCGCCGGCCCTGTTTTGCCCCAGGTGTCCGAGGTCGCCTGGAGGCAGCCTGGCCAGCGCGTCGTCGGCCCATCTCGATCGGACGGGTGCACGACGGCTCGCTCGGGGAAACTCGCAGTCTGTGCTGGTGGCACGCGCGCGTCCGCGCGCGCGCGGCAAGAATAGGCTCGCAGGGACTGCTAGTAGCGCTCGGGATCTCTCGCTCTCGACCGGCCTTGTGGAGTGGGAAGGCGCTCGCAGTCGACGGGAGATCTCTTCCAAGCACACGCACCCCCCGCGGTGCTAATCCCCGGTACGAAGAGCGGCGCGTGGGCGAGAGCGTGGGCCCCCACCCGATCATGATGTTCGCAGGCCGCGACGTGCGCGACGTGCGCGCCTGAACTCTCGCGGCGAGCGGAGCGCTCCCGCGCACCACCGCCGACCATGCTCTTCGCCTGCGCCGCGTCCCGGACGTCTCTGGCGGCGGCGACGCGCCAGACGACCTCGTCGGCGGCACGATCTTTTCAAACGCTGAACGGCCGCCCCGCGGCCGCGCGCGCCGCGCCCGCGGCCCGCGGCGCCCCCGCCGGTCGCCGGCCGCCCGCGCCGCCCGGCCGCGCCGCCCGGCGCGCCCTGTCCGCCGCGCCCAAGTGGTCGTTCCACGGGCGGCCGCTGCCCGAGGACAAGTGCGTCCCGCTCGACGGCCCCTGCGGGCGCAAGCGCTTCGAGCGCGCCCTCGTCGGCGGCACGGCGGAGAACCACTTCAAGCTCGCGAACCAGTTCCTCACGCAGAGCTCGCCCCCGTCGTGCGGCGTGACGACGCTCGCGATGGTCATGAACGCGCTCGCCATCGACCCGAACGTGCGGTGGAAGGGCGGCTGGCGCTGGTTCGACGAGGCCATGGTGTTGGGCAACTGCTGCAAGGCGCCCGAGGAGGTCGACGAGCGGGGCATCACCATGCACGAGTTCGCGTCGATGGCGCGGTGCCACGGCGCCGTCGCCGAGCACTGGCACCACGAGGCGAACGCGGGCGAGGGCCACGGCGCCTGCGGGCCGGCGAGCCTGGCGACCTTCCGGCGCCACGTCGTCGCGTCGGCGACGTCGAGCGACCCGCCGCTGGTCGTCGCGTCCTTCGACCGGTCCGCGCTCGGGCAGACGGGCGCGGGCCACTTCAGCCCCCTGAGCGCCTACGACGTGCGCACGGACAGCGTGCTCGTGCTCGACGTCGCCCGCTTCAAGTACCCGCCCTGGTGGGTGGCGCTGGAGCACCTCTACGACGCCATGGAGGCCACGGACGCGGACTCGGGCCTCTCGCGCGGCTACTTTCGGGTGTCGCCGAAGATCGCGAACCGGCGCCGCCACGCCCAGCGCGACGCCCAGTCCGACGGCGGCGGCGGCGGCTCCTGCCCGGCCCACAGCCTCATGCGCTCCTACTGCCCCCTCGAGGTCCGCAAGAAGTGCACGTCGTCCTGCGCGTCGCCGTCCCGGGCCGCGTCCACGCTCGTCCGACCGCCGCGCTGAGTTCTTCGCGCGCGCGCGCCTAATTTGGTTTCCCGTTCGTCGAGCAGCGGCGGCCCCGGAGGAGGCGAGCTATACAATCTTAGATAAACGTTTTGAAACGCGCCGCGCGACCGCGGCGCGTTCGACCCCCCGGGGGCGGGGCGGCGGGCCCGCGGCGGTCGGCGCGCCGCCGCGCCGACGCCGCGCCGACGCCGGGCCTCGGGGCGCCGCCGGGCCCGCGGGGTTCGGACCCGGCGAATCGAGCCGTTTTTTCACTTCCCGCGGACCTCCGGGTAGCTCATGGGGTCGGCGACCTGGTACTTCATGTAGGCGTTCGTCGCCTCGGTCCAGAGGGAGCTGTTCCACGTGCCGGGCGTGCCGCTCTTGTAGATCGTGTTGTACACCATGCAGCAGCAGAAGGAGCCGAAGCCCATCGCCGCCGACGCGCCGACCATGACTTGGGCGTTGGGCATCGCGCTCAGCTTCGAGATGAGGCGCTGGTGGATCGACATGTTTGTCTGCGGCAGGCGGAGCCGGTGGACTCGCGCGCGGAGTTTCTGTACGGCGCGGCCCTGTTCTACGGCGGCGGCTTGCAGACGAGCGAGGGTGTGGCTGATCGGCCGCGGCAACATCGGCGCAGGCTATCAGCGCGTCGTTGCGCAGGCTTTGCGCACGCCGCGCGCGCGGCGACGGATCACGGGACAGCTGCATCTCCCGGCTGGCGGCTGCCCCGCGGCGTCTACGGGTCGTGCCGGCGCTGATGGGGCGGCGATGAGGACGAACTGCGCCGGAGAAGGACGACGCGGTGCTGCGCGCGCTGCGAGACTTCGCCAGCCACCCGCCGAATGCGGTCCGAAGACCGACGCGCGGCGGCCGCTATCCACCGACGGGACGTCCGCGTCGCCACATACGTCGAAGTCCCGGTAATTTCTTCAACTTAGCTTCAAGAAGCAACGAATTGCCGCAGCCTTTTATCATCCATCGCGAGGCGCGCATCCTGCCGCCGTGCTGCGCGCAGCCAGACCGCTAAGACCGCGAATGGACGCGCAAGCACTAAAGGCGACGGGCAACGCCCACTTCGCCAAGGGCGAGGACCAGAAGGCCATCGACGCCTACACGGCGGCCCTGGAGAAGACGGACGACGCGCCGCTGCGCGTGGCGATCCTGAGCAACCGCGCCGCGTGCCACCTGCGCCTCGAGGCCTTCGCCGCCTGCGTCGCGGACTGCGACGGCGCGCTCGCGCTCGACGGCTCCAAGGCCAAGGCCTACTACCGCCGCGCGCGCGCGCGCGACGGTCTCGGCGAGCTCGCGGACGCGTTCCGCGATTTGAAGGCCTGCGTGCGCCTCGAGCCGGCGAACCGCGAGGCCGTCGCCCTCGCGAGGAGCGTCAAGGAGCGCCTGAGCGCGACCCTGAAACAGGAGGGCGCCCACGAGTCGCCCGCGGTGCAGCTCGCTTTGAAGATCTCGAAATGCGTCGAGAGCGGCGAGGCCGACGGCGACGCGCGGAAGCGCAAGGGCCTCTTCGTCTCCGGCGCGCGCTGCGCCGTCGAGGACGAGGCCGCGGCGCGGGCCCTCTGGAAGTACGGCGCCTGCGACGCGGCCTGCGCGAGCGCGAAGTCGAAGACCGAGGACGGCGAGGTCCGGCGCGCGGCGGTGCGCATGCTCGCGGCCGCCGCGCGGCACGCGGGCGCGCTGGAGCCGTCCATGGTCTGGCAGGTCGCGGGCGTGCTGCGGCGCGAGGGCGAGGGGTTCCTCGGCGGCGACGCGGCGCCCGCGGCGCTCGGCCTCGCGGCGGCGTTGTGCGAGGCCGCGCCCGAAGCCGACGAGGAGCGGCGGACGAGGCCGCGGCGGCGGAGGAGGCGGCGCTGGACATCGACGACGACGCCGTCGTCGAGGGCGACGGCGACGCCAGCGACGACGACGCGGACCTGACGCCCGCGCGGCTACGGGCGGCCGCGGACGGCGCGGCCGTCGTCGTCGTCGCCCGGGCGCTCGCGAGCGGGACGCGGCGCGTCCGCGAGCTCGGCCTCGACCTGCTCGTGCGCTGGCTCGCGCCGGAGCTCTCCAAGGAGGCCGCGAAGAAGAAGAAGGGCCTCGCGGCCATGTTCGAGGCGTCGAAGCCCGGCCACGCGGAGGCGCGGGAGCGCCGCGCGGCGGACGCGAAAGAACAGGAGGACCTGCGGCGGTGCCGCGCGCGGCGCCTGGGCAAGGTGCTCGAGCTGCCCGACGGCCCCGTGCGGCGCGGCGTTTTGGGCGGGCTCTGGGCGCTCCTCGACGCGAAGCACGACGGCGAGCGGCGCAAGGCGCAGGCGGCCGTCGCGCGCGTCTGCCGCGCCGTCGCGCGCCGCGGCGACCCGGCGGTGTCCGACGTCGAGTTCGAGTGGGAGTCGCCCGACGAGGCCGCGCCGGCGTCGCTCGTCGCGGCGCTCGTCGCGGCGGGCGGCGTCTCGGACGACGCGTGGGTGTCGTCGTTCCCCGCGGGCCTCGCGGACCCCTTGGCGGCCGAGGCGTCCGCGGGCGACTGGAGCCGCGACCTCGCGCGCAAGCGCCGCGGCGCGGGCTTGGTCGGCGCCTGCCACCTCGCCTGCGGCCACTTCGCCGCGCTGGCCGTCGAGGGCGACTGCTGCCCCGAGGGCGTCGTCGACGTCGTGCGGCTCCTGGGCGCGCGCGAGCCGCTCGGCGAGGCGCTCGGCGCGGAGGCGCTGAGCGCCTGCGCGAGCACGAACGAGGGCCGCGTGCTGCTGCAGCCCCTCGTGGCGTCGGGCACGCTCGAGCGGCTCATGGAGGACGGCGCGTCGACGGCCGTGCGGTCCGCGGCCGCGTGCGCGGTTGCGAAGTTAGGGCTCGCCGCCAAGGCGCTCAAGAGCGGCGCGCGGGAGACGGGCCGCCTCCTCGACAGCGCCGTGGCCCTGCTGCGCGATGCTCTGAAGCGCAAGGAGGAGGTCGCCGAGGGCGTCGGCGACGGCGACGACGGCGTCGCGGCCGTCGAGCGCGCCGTCGAGGTCGTCGCGGCGATGGCGTCCGCGTCGTCCGTCAAGGAGGAGCTCGCCCACGGCAGCGGCCGCTGCGGCGCGGCGTTGCCGTCGTTGACGGCGCTGGCGTCGGCCTCCAAGGGCAGCGACCCCGTGGCCTACGGCCTGAGCTGCGTCTTCGCGAACCTGACGGTCACGAACGACGAGCTCCGGCGGCGCCACTTCGCGGACAAGGAGATGGACATCACCGCGGAGCAGTACGACGAGCTCCAGCGCATCACGAAGCAAAAGGCCGAGGACGACGCCGACACGGACACGGCGGACCTCTGCGGCGCGCGGTGCGTCAAGCTCGCGATGGCCGACGGCGTCTTGGCGCTCGCGAACCTCGCGGCCACGGACCCGTCGCCGCTCACGTCCGAGCACCTCGCGGCGACGCTCGTGGCGCTGGCCAAGGACGAGAACCTGCGGGGGACGCTCGTGCAGCAGGGCGGCTTCAAAGCCGCCGTCGCGCTCAGCGAGGCCGGCGGCGACCGGTCGGACAAGTGCCGGATCTTCGCGGGCCACGCGGCGGCGAAGATCCTCGTGACGACGGACCCGAACCGGCTGACGGACGCCCAGCGCCTCGCGGGCATCCGCCCCCTGCTCTGGCTCTGCAAGCAGCTCAAGGTCAACGATTTGGTGCACTTCGAGGCGCTTTTAGGATTGACGAACCTGCTGAGCCTCGGCGAGACCGCGCGGCGCCGCGTCGCGGCGAACAAGGGCATCCACGCGCTGGAGTACCTCCAGTTCTCGGACAACGACGAGGTCCAGCGCGCGGCGACGGAGGCGCTGACGAACATGGTGCCCGACCGCGACATGATCGCGCACCTGCTGAAGCCGGACAAGATCAAGCTCTGGCTCGCGTTCGCGCAGGAGGACGACGAGGCCGACGGCGGCAAGGGCGACGTCCAGCTCGCCCGCGCCGCCATCGGCTGCCTCGCCATGGCATCGGAGGGCGACGCGGACGTCGCGCGCGCCATCGCGGACAACAGGGGCAAGGCGGCGCTCGACCACGTGCTCCGGTCCAAGGAGCCGAGCCTCGTGCACCGCGGCGCCTACTGCCTCGCCAACTGCCTCCACGACCGCAAGGCGCGGCTCAAGCTCAACGACGACGACGCGCTCATGGCCGCGCTCACGCAGGCGTGCGACGACCTCAAGCAGCACACGAACGCGGGGCTCCTCGACGCGCTCAAGGAGGCGGCGGAGTGCCTCGCGCGGACCGACTGGCACGACCAGCCCTCCGACGACGAGGGCGAGGAGGGGTAAGGCGCCGCTTTTTCGACGATGCGAGGATGCTCGTGGTGTAGCTCGCGATGCGTGCGAGCGCTCGGGGTGGCATCCCCGGCGCGCGCGGCGTACACCTCGACGGCACGATCCGCCCGTCGCCGACGATGTCGTTGACGTGAAGTGCTCAGGCCGTGCAAGCGATATGGAAGGCCTGAAGGTGCTCCTCCTTTTGCAGAGCGCCGGCGCGTTCCAGCACGGCGCTGCGCCGCGGGTGACGACCGCCGCGCGGTCCACCTTCGTCGACGAGGCGTCGCCGGAGGTGGCGCCCGCCGTCGCCGCGGCGCCGGCGCCCAACCCGGCCCTCGACGGTCTGCCGTCGCTCTTCGAGGCGCCGGCGACGGCCGAGGAGGCGGAGTTCTACGAGTCCATCGAGGAGGCGCTCGCGAAGGCGAAGACGGCGCCGGGCGTCGACGGCCCCTGGGACGCGGCGTTCTGGCGCGAGTACGACGGCGACGGCTGGGTCGCGAGGGCGCGCGCGGCCGAGGGCGAGGCCGCGGCCCTGCGGCTGGCGCACCACCTCACGGCGCACCGCATCATCTCGCTGTCGGCCCGGGGCCGGAACCGCACGGAGTTCGTGAGCCGCTACGCGCCCTGCTCGCTCGCGGAGACCGACGGCGGCGCGCGGCGCGTCGCGGCGCTCCACTGCTACGCGGGCCTGCGCGCCGCGCCGACCTGGGACGCGCCGGCCTGGGCGTCGGACCTCGTGGCGAAGCTCGACGCCCTCGGCGGCGGCGAGCTCGCCGAGGCGGCCCTGCGCGCCGCGCTCGCCGCGGACGGCGGCGGCGCCGCGGCGGCGGCCGACGACGACGCCGAGGACCGGGGCCAGTACCTGCGGACGGACCAGTTCTTCGAGGAGGAGTTCGGCACGGACTTCAGCGACGACTTCGGCGAGCTCGACGAGTCGCCCCTGGCCGCGTCGAGCCGCGACGACGGCGCGTCGCTCGCCGCGTCGCTCGAGGCGCTCGACGACGCCTTCGGCGACGACGACGACGCGCCCGAGCGGCGCCTGTCGACGCCGCCGGCGCCCTTCTTCGTCGAGAGCGTCACGAAGCCCGCCGCGGCGGCGCCGCCGAAACGCGCCGAGACCCACGGCCGGGCGACGGCGGCGCTGGCCGCGTACTTTCGCGCGACGGCGCTCGGGAAAGACGCGTTCCCGGAGACGCTCGCGGCGCTCGAGGGCTGCCCCTATGGGCCGCGCCACGTGTCCATCATGGCCCAGCAGCCGGGCACGCGCACGCCGAGCCACAGCGAGCTCCAGAACCACGTGCTGACGCTCTACGCGCCCCTCGCGGGCGGCGGCGGCGCCGTCGTCGTCGGCGACGCGCCGCCGCGCGAGGGGCCCGTCGTCGTCGACTCGACGTTCAAGCACGCGACGGCCAACGACGGCGGCGCCGCCGCCTACTGGCTCGTCGTCGACTTCTGGCACCCGGACCTGACGCCCACGGAGGTCGACGCCCTCGAGGCGCTCTACAAGCTCGACGAGCAGTTCGTCCTCCGCCGGTCCGCCGCCGTCGACGTCGTCCGCGCGCTCGCGAGCACGGACCGCGCGCTCGCCCTCCTCGAGTGAGCGCCGCCGCCCTAAGGACCCTAGGCCGGCGTTACGAGCGCCGTCGTCTCGACGACGGCGGCCCGGACGGCGTCGACGAAGGCGCCGTCGCTCGCGCTGCCCGCGAGCACGGCGACGCGCGCGCCGAGCCGGTGGAGGCCGAGGAACCGCGCGGCCGCGGCCGCGCGCTCCGGTTCGCCCTTGGCGTTGAGGACGACGGTGACGCGCTTGCCCCGGGACCGGCCGTCCTCGAGCAGCGTCAACAGCTCGACCCACGCGGCCGCGAGCGTCGCCGCGTCGGTCGCGTCGACGACGTACAGGATCGCGGCGCAGGGCTCGTAGAAGCGCTCCCACATGAGCGTCATGCAGCCGCCGACCTCCTGCAGCATGATGCGGCTCGCGGGCGCGGACACGTGCTCGACCTCGACGCCGACGGTCGGCCGCGTCGCCGGCAGCGCGGCCGGCGGCGCCTCGGGCTGCCCCCTTTTTTTCCGCGCGCTCGCGGCGTCGAAGCGCTGCTTCAGCAGTTTTAACAGCGTCGACTTGCCGGCGCCGGCGGCGCCGACGACGAGCAGCTGCCGCACGGGCTCGTCTTGGATCTTGGCGCTGCGCGACGACGGGCAGCACGGCGCCATGCTTTTGTTACGGTTGACGACCTCAACAAGAGCGTGCGTGCAGTGCACGATTGGCTTGGCACTACCGGCTAATTACGCTCACCGCCGCAGGGGCTGGTAGGACGCGGGGTCGTCGTCGACGTCCTCGGAGCGCGCGCCCATGCTCTCCCAGCCGAGCTTCGTGCGTATGCTCTCGAGGCGCGCCTGGTTCGTGCCGTCGTCGCCGAGGGGCACGCTGTAGAGGTTCTGCGCCGGGAAGAAGAAGATGGACTCGCGGCTCGCGGACCGGTAGAAGACGAAGGACTTCTTCTCGTCGACGACGAACTCGACGTCGTCCTTGTCGACGGCGCGGCCGCCCTTGACGACCGTGTCCGCCGTCGCGCGGAGGTAGAGGCTCGCGTCGTCGACGAACTCCACGGAGAGG